TCCCCAGCCGGCTGCCATGACCGCTTCTGCTACGTGAGGTGACAGAGAAGGCAGCCATTTAGAACCAGGCTGCAGGACCTCATCGTGAGACACCGAATCCGCTGGCATGTGGGCTGTGGACTCCGCAGCTCCCCGAACATGTGGTCTCTTCCAGCGGCGACTCGCTCCCACCGCAGGATGGCCGCCACGTCCCCTTCCGCGTCAAGTGATTGCTCCCAGCACTGCTGCGGCTGGCGTTTGCCCCACCAGGTTTCAGCAGAAATCATGTATTCCTATTTTCATTGCGTTAAACATTTAATATTTTTATTAAGTTTTTATTCATCTTAATTTTTATTTGAAAGGCCGAGAGAGAGAGAGAGAGAGAGATCCTCCATCTGGTGGTTCACTCCCCAGATGCTTCCCAGGCCAAGCACGGAGCCTGGGATTCCTTCCAGGTGAGCCACGTGGGCGGCAGCAGCCCAAGTACTTGAACCATCACCTGTTCCCTCACAGGATCCTGAGCAGGAAGCTGGAATCGAAAGTGCAGTTGGGACCAGGCACTCTACTGTGACATGGGGCGATCCCAAGTTGCTGCCTTAGCCGCTGCACCAGATGCCTGCCCCAAGTATCATACATTTTAAAGACTTTTACTTTTGAAACAACTTTGAGAACTGTTACTGGCGTTTTTCTCTGTTTTGCCTCCCTGGGGGGGGAGGGGGCCAAAATACCCGGAAGTGAGTACTTTCAAGAGAAGAGAGGAGGGTAACTGAAGTACAAGTTCCGGTGGCCTCAATCCGTTTAGTTTCTGGTGAGGGCTTCATGGCAGTGGTGTCACAGGGGCAGGAGCAGCAGGCAGCATGCATGCATGCATGGGATCATCTGATGAGACAGGAAGCAAGAGAAGTGGGCCAGGCTGCGGGAACCCACTGCTGCAAGCTCTAACCCGCACCAGAGGAGCAGTGCTTACGACCGGGCCCTTCCATGTACCCCACCTCTCAAAGGCCCCGCCCAGGCAGACTGCTCCAGAATTGGTCCTCACACATACCACACAGCGTGCTGTGGCCAAGTCAGGGCAAGGGGGCAGGCCCCTACCCCCACAAAGGATCATGTAAGTTGCAAGCATTCCAGCCTTAGTTGGAGAGGAGATTTGATTACGATGCAGTGGTTCGAACCATGATATATGACAAAGGTGGAGGCAATGGCAGCAACGCCACTAGGGCACAGGGCTTCGCAAACAGTCCCTGACTGGGCTATGATTGGTACGCTTTTTTTTTTCCCATTTTTTTTCTTTATTGTTAACCATCTTTACATAGTTAATTAGGGCACAAAGGTTCGAGGGCTACAGGAAAGTGGGTAATTCTATTATTTCCATTTTTTTTTTCCTGTGTCTGGAATAAAGGGGAAGATAAAGGGAGATGCCCCAGCCCAGTCTCCCGTGCATGTGGGAGACCCAGTTCGGGTTCCTGACTTCCGGCTTCAGCCTGGGCCAGACACGGCTGCTGTGGATCATCTGGGGAGTGAACTGGTGGGTAGGACATCCGTCACTCTCCGTCATTCTAATTTTCAGACAAATAAGCAAATATAATTTTTATTTTTTTATTAAAGATTTATTTTTATTATTTTTTTTATTGGAAAGGCGGATATACAGAGAGGAGAGACAGAGAGGAAGATCTTCCGTCCGATGATTCACTCCCCAAGTGAGCGCAACGGGTCGATACTATGCCGATCCGAAGCCAGGAGCCTCTTCCGGGTCTCCCACACGGGTGGCAGGGTCCCAAAGCTTTGGGCCGTCCTCGACTGCTTTCCCGGGCCACAGGCAGGGAGCTGGATGGGGAAGTGGGGCTGCCGGGATTAGAACGGAAGATCTTCCTCTCTGTCTCTCCTCCTCTCTGTATATCTGACTTTCCAATAAATAAATTTTAAAAAAGAGTAGCTGAGAAAGGAAAGGCAATGAGATAATAATAAAAGTCAGAAATTTCACCTGAATGTCACCTCATTTTTGTGGCTCTCAGTGTGCAGTTTCAAATATTTTAATTCATTTTCCTGTTACGTTTGCTTGGAATTCTTCTTCAGGAACTCCTGAAGAGATGTGTTTATTCTCCCTTGCCTATCTTCCATGTTGTCATTTTCCTCTCGAAATGTGGCTTAAAATTGATTTCTGAGGCAGTGACAGAGAGCTCCCATCTCTTAGTTTATTCTCCCAGGGTGGTGCCGTGGGAAGCAGATCCAGGAGCTCAGCTCAGGTCTCCCACGTCAGCGGCAGGCACCTGCTGCTGGCATCCCCACTGCCTCCTGGGGGTGTGTGCAAGCAGGAAGCAGCCGGGACTCAAACCAGGAACTGCAGTATTGGATGCAGTGTCCCAAGCAGCATCCATCTCCACAAATCTTTTTTAAGTCCTTCTTTCTGCCTAATAGCAATTTTAGAGTGCTTTTAAATTTATAGAACAAGTACAAAGATCTCACTGGAAATTCCCATATTCCCCAACCCTGGCTTCTCATTATTGTCACCTCACATTAGAACGGCAGGCTTGTCATCATTAGTGGTCCCTATTATTCATTTTTTTTTAAAGATTATTTATTTATTTATTGGAAAGTCACATATACAGAGAGAAGGAGAGACAGAGAGGAAGATCTTCCGTCCGATGATTCACTCCCCAAGTGAGCGCAACGGCCAATGCTATGCCGATCCGAAGCCAGGATCCAGGAACTTCTTCCGGGTCTCCCACACAGGTGCAGGGTCCCAAAGCTTTGGGCCGTCCTCGACTGCTTTCCCAGGCCACAAGCAGTATTTGCCATAAGGTGCTGCAGCCTTGCTCTGCTGGGCCTGCCCCCAGTCCTAGCTCATGCTAGGGGGTGGGGTGCTGCAGCCTAGCCCAACCTGCCCAGTACCCCACCCCAGCCCTAATGTGAGCTGTTGAATGTTGCACCCCAACCCAGCCTGGCCTGCACCTGTCCTGACTGCACCTGCCAGACAGTGTTGCAGGGTGGCCCAGCCCAGCCCACCCTCAGACCTGGCCAACAAGAATGCCCATGAGTACCTTGGTCCAGCCGGCCTGGACTGTCCCCAGCTTCGATTCTTACGTTCACCAGCTCATGATATACATTTTCCTGAACTTTTTGAAGATCTCTCAACAAACTGAATTTATATCTTGTGTGTCTCATTTCTTTTTCTCTCCCTGTTAGTGTCCAGAACAGTCCCTCGCTGCCAGGTTTCAGATGAACCAACCTCACAGAGGCAGATCCTGCGTGAATGGGCAGGATAGTTGTCCTACGGCACCGTGACCCCTTGGTTAGTGGGATGAGAGGCTCTGAGACCTCAGCCTCCATGTCTCTCTCCCGCCCAGGATGGAGACCAGCTAACGACTCCGTCCTGAGCAGCAACACATCCAAATATACTTCTGCTCTTCCTCACTTTTAAGTGGCAAGTGCAGGGTCCCCTTCCTGATGGGACTCCACAGTCCCATGAGATCTGCCTTTGTGTTTCTGACAGTCTCTTCTAGGGCACCGAGTGTGGCCCCGGCAGGCACTGGAGGCTGCTCTGTAGGTCTTAATGTTGTGGCTTAGCCACAAGTCTGGGGTCCAGGAGCCTCCCCGTCACAGGGTCTTTCCTTGCCCCACGGGAGTCCAAAGGGCTGGTGCTTTGCCTCTATTTTCTGGAGGGCTTGGGCTTGTCATCCTAACAAGATACCCATTTTTCCAAGTTCGGTAACTCACATCTTACTACTGATCATTTTTTGCCTTTTGCAACATCATTTTCTTGTTGCTCAGCAATGTCAGCTAGCGGCCTTCTGCTGTCTCTGATGGTCTTCTAAGGAATAGCTCCATGCTTAGAGGAACTTTATTTCCTCAAAGATCTATTGACTTTCACTTGAGAGAAGCGAGATCTCTCGTTTGCTGTTTCACTCCCCAAATGGTCAGAGCAGCTGGAACTGGGCTGGTAGGAAGCCAGGAGCCAGTAGTTTTCTCCAGGTCTCCCATAAATACAGGGGTCCAAAGAGTTGGGCCATGCCCTGATGCCCTCCCAAGCCACCAGCAGGGAGCTGAATCAGAAATGCAGCAGCTGGAATAGAACTTGCATGGAGTTCGACTGGAGGCATAAAGCCTGTTAAAAATGCACAGCAAGTCCCCCAGGTGGAGGGCATGCGCCAAGCCTCAGGGAGTCCGAGGAGGAATCTAAGAGGTCTGAATGCTGGGGCTGGGAGGTGCTGATGGGAAAGAACTCAAGTGCGTGAGCACACGGCTCAGGCTCAATTCCAATGACCTTGGGTTGACTGCAAGAGGAAGAGGGACAGCGTGTGGGGATGAGGAGGCGGAGGCAGCGAGAGCTTTCTTCCAGATGCTCCTGCTGTGCCCTTTAGAAAACATCTGGCTGGGGCCAATGTTTACCGACTCCTTACAAAGACCTGGGAAACCCGGAAGGCCGAGGGGAACATAACAAAAGGCAGTCAAATTTTTCAGACACATACAAGGGGGGGGAGGGAGGTGAAGGTACATCACAGAGTTTAAAAAAAAAAAAATGGAATTAAAACCACACACTTCCCCAGAATGTTTTGGAAGTACTCTCATATTTATGAACGGTACTACAAGAATTCCCAAGTTGGCAAAAAACAAAACTACCTCTAATTAAGGTGCGAATGTGAAATCCTGTCTTTGGACCAAGGGTGGGGATGGGGGTGGGGAGAACCTGTGGCTTCCTCATAACAGGAATTGTTTAGGGAAAGCCAAGCATGGGGAGCAGGGTTAACACTGCTTTTCCAAGCTGTCATGAACGGCTGCAATTACATGAAGTTAATTTTAACTTTTGAGGCAATACTACTAGCCACGTAAGGAAAGGAGTATTACTAAATTTTCCGCCTGAACAATTTATGACAACACAAAGGCTATTTATTGGGAAGGATACAGAGCAACCAACCTGAACCCATCTCAACTTGTCAGTTGCAAAAATCTTTTGAGCGTAAGCCCACAGGGAAAGACTGTATGAAGCAAAGCTCTCCTAAGATAATGCACACAAACCAACATAGTCTATTTAATAAAAATATTTAATGCTGCCAAAAAGGTATAAAAATACAGTAGGAATGGCAGTACAATACAAAGTAATCTCTCCTAATTTATTTCTTTTACAACTTTCTACATTTCATACACGCATTAAAAAACATTGAACAGTACATGAAATTAAAGGGTTCTGCAAAGTCTTCTGCTGGTGGGTGCTCTTCATTCCCTGGATGTAAGGTTTACTTTGTAAACAGACAACTGTGAGGCAATCTACAGGTTTTAGCAAGCCTCACTTCAGTTTCCGGAGTGGGTTTCAGGTCTTGCTTTGCACATCAATGGTTCAAAACTTAGAGCTGCAGAATATTCTCAAGTCATGAATACTTAGGTGTCTGTCAATCTTGGCCTAAAACATAAAATAAGAAGTCATCTATTCAATTCGTATTTACCAAACACACGGACGTACAGAGACACACGCAAACATGAAAGGACTAACAGTGAACCAAAAAGGCAACCAAAAAAAAAAATCAATCCAACATAGTCACATCCAACCGCACTAAGGGCTTCACTGGTATTATGGCACAACGACTCAAGTCCTTGATTTTCCAATCGGATGGGTGGTGTGAAGCTGACCCATGTTAAAGCCCCATAATCCACATTCTTCTTCAAGAACTGCTAACTCTGAATTTTCAGGCCATCCTGTCTTACGCAAGAAACGTTCTCCATGCGAGCGATCGACAGACAAACAGGTTTAAAAGAAAGGGATTAAAAAATAAATAAATAAAAGGTACCCACAAGAATTTGGCAAGACTGTTCGGTATGCGCTAGACTTACCAACACTTTGGAATTCAATGCAAAAGTCTAATCCAATTTGGACTTCCAATGTATAACACTGCTAAAAATATTATCAACGTAATGTCTGAACATAAAGTTGGCTTACAGCTTTAAGTCACAGATTGTTAACAGATGTTTTTGTCCTGAAGGAGAATCCTAACAATTACAGCTACAGAACTGCAGAGACATGATACTTCGGTTATTACTAATGTAAAAGAAAAACACACACATAAAATAATTGACAGATTTATTACATTTCATACCAAAAGGTAAAAATCAGTGTTAAACAACGGAGGGAAGGACTGTGCAAAGGCGGTTATTAACCTTATTTCACAACGTATGTAAAGAACTAAACTTCTGGGGAGGTTCATGGTGTTACCACTCTAACGCCTTTCACGACCACCACAAAAACCCAAGTCTAAATGTCCCTCGCTATCCTATCTCCACATACACGCATGGGAGCGCACATCACTGCTACACATCTCGCCAAAACCTTCTAATGCTGAGAATTAGATTTCTTTCTGCCCACTGGCTCCTTCCAACAGGAAGGTGCAACTGTCCCGAGCCCTTCTGGAGTGTTGTCACTAGTCCATTTGGTTCTGAGGGGCCAACGCTGACGGAGAAATGCCTCGCATTCTGCTGAGGAGCCCCTGGGGTGAGAAAACGCTCCATGGACACCCATGACAGAGATCTCCAGCCCTGAACCAAAGTGGCTGTAGGTTCTGACTGCTACAAAATACGTAGTTCCTTCCCATGCTTGCAGAAGGCCTGCTCTTTCAAATCCAGGAACTCCGTGTGACCAGTCAAAAAGAAATCATATGAATGGCTTGGATTACAGGCTATTCATACGATTTCTGGTGTTTTCTGGTTGGAACTGTAGTTCCAACTGTTTCACGCTTTTGTTGTTTGAAAACAAGGCAGGGTGATGGTTCGGCCCAGGGGTCCAGGCTCGGCTCAGGAAGCCTGTGCTCCCTCGGGGTGCCTGGGTTTGACACATGGCCCTGCTCCCGATCCCAGCTTCCCCCACTGGTGCTCTGCCGGGGCGGCAGCGATGACTTAGAAGTGGGGTCTCTGTCTCCCACACGGGAGACCTACACTGAAGCCCTGGCATCCGGTGTCAGTTCCCCAGCCTGCTGCAGGTGTTCACGGAATGAGGCAGTAAATGGGGGGTTGTATTTCTGCCTCTTCGGTAAGTGCAATGTAGAAGCAAGATGATTATTTTGGATCCTAACAGGTGAGAGTGGTTGTCTATATTTTTTCAGCTAAACATCTAGCTCAAATATTCCACAGGAACATAAACTGTGTGACGTACTAGGGAAAGTAGGTGGGGTGTTGTGATTGGAATACTACAGATGGGGCTGAATCTCAGCTCTGGCCTTGACTCACAGGGCCATCTTGGGCAACTTATTTGTCTATCTGAAAACAGGAACAGTGACATCTGCATGGAAGAGGTGTTTTGTGGGTTGGAGTCTGTATTTAAACTGCTGGCACAACTAGGCATGCTCAACATACACTGCTGTTCTTCCCCAGAGGTCGTGTCTTTAAGTGTATCTTTAATACAATTACCAAGATGGAACCATCACCCATGAAACCTGAAATCACTGGGAGGGGCAACCGGCTTATTTGCCCGGCTGGAAAGAAAAGTGAGCCTCCTCTCAGAAATTCTTAATACGTTCATTTGGCTCGGTTTTTGCTGTGTTACTGACAAAAGTAAAATGAGCTGAAGCAAATCAAACGAAGTCTGCTGTGGGTGCTTTCTGTGGAGAATGTGACCTCGCAAGCCTAACCTTCCCTCACTAGACCAGAGCATGGCTGGCTGCCTACAGAGCCCTCCTGCCACGGGCCAGCTCCATCTGGCTGGTGGCAGCCACCCTGCACTTCGTGTCACTTTGGTCTTTTCACAGCAATGTTCCGTGGAAATGAATCAAGGTTATTCACATACTTCTCTATCTCACATTGGAAACGGTGGTAGAGAGAACCTTTCCAAGGACCCTCTCCTCAGGTCACCAACTTGAAATACTGCAAAGTTCTTATAGAAGCCATGTGCAAAACCAAGAGCACCAGCTGTCTGAAAATCGAAGCAAATGAGAGCAACAATGAAGAACAAGTTGATGCTTCTTCAAGAATGATCTCCAAAAAAGGGGGAAAAACAAACATCAGGTGCAACTGTCCCTGCAGCTTCCGCAAACTGCGTCATGCACAACCAGCAATATCCTGAATCTGATAACCCATACTCTACTCTAAATTAAAAGACCAAAACACAGAGAGAACAATGACTTCCCAGAGACGGCCAAGGCTCTTCCAAATGTGTTTTGGTGTGAGGTTTCCAATGCCAAATACAAAGTCATTAGTGCTGGCATTGTAGAGTAGTGCGTAAGGCTATGGCATGTGAGCCGGGTAGGAGCCCAGGTTCAAGTTTCAGCTGTTCCATTCCTAATCCAGCTCCCTGCTAATGGTGTAGTAAATACAGTCAAAGATGGCCCAAGTGTTTGGGCCCCCAATACTCACATGGGAGACCCAGATGAGCATCCTGGGTCCTGGTTGTAGCCTGGCCATGCCTGGCTGTTGCAGCTTATCTGGGGAGTGAACCAGCAGATGGAGGATCATCCCCTCTGTGTATAACTCTTTCAAATAAATAAATACATGTTTAAAATATAACAAAAGTCATTTAAACCAAGCAGAAGTTGCTCACACCACTCTCTGCTTATTCCACGGCTCTGTCCTCGAGTTGAGCAGACAGGGAAAGGATCAACAGTGACAGCGAGGAACAACTTTCCCCAAGACAAGGAGTCTTTCTGAACCCGGACTCAAGGGAGGGAAGCGCTCTGAGGGGAGAGCGACAGTGCTTGTGCAGACTGCTCTGGGGTGTTCTTGGAGCAAATCCCTGCTGCTGAAGGGCAAAATGCAGTAGCCAAAACCATACCATCTTCCCGCATGTATGAAAAACTTTCAAATGTCACCCAAGAAAGAACAACAAAGCTTAAATTCCCAACTCAGGATGTGCCGTGAAAAGGTTGTACTGAGCCCAGGCACACAGGGAACAGTAAATGTGCAGGGTCTGAACTGAGAACTTTTAGGAAGCTGACACAATCTGAGTTTCTTTCTACCCAGGCATGTGGCCATATCCACATACCCAGGGAACAAGAGACAGCTCAACGTCCAGTATGTTCACTGTGTGGGTCTGCTGCTGCTATTAGCACAGAAACACTGCTGGGAGACACAGCTTCGAACAAATCAACCAGGCCCGACATGACAGCCCAGTGACTAAATCCTCGCCTTGCATGTACTGGGATCCCATATGAGCACTGGGTCATATCCCAGCTGCTCTTCTCCCACCTGGCTCCCTGCTTGTGGCCTGGGAAAAGCAGTCGAGGACGGCCCAAAGCCTTGGGACCCTGCACCCGTGTGGGAGACCCGGAAGAAGCTTCTGGCTTCAGATCAGCTCAGCTCTGGCTGTTGTGGCCACTTGGGGTGTGAATCATAGAACGGGAGATCTTTAACCTCCTTCTCTCTGTAAATCTGCCTTTACTATTTAAAAAAAAAAAATTTTTTTAGAATGCATCAATCAAGTCTGAAAACACTGGGAGGAAAATTCAGTGCAACAGGTCAACCCCAAGGTGAGTCATTCAGACAATCACCAAGACCTGTATTTTAGGTCATTAAGACACAGTTCTAGGAGGGAAGGCATGGGGAGGGGATGCGGGAATCCGAGAGCCTATGAAACTGTGTCATAAAATGAAATCAAATACATGAAAACAAACAAACAAACCAACAAGGCACAGTTCTAGCACATAGCAACAGATTAGATTTCTCATTTACTTATGAGAGTCCATGCCTTTCTCATCCAAAAACATGCAAGCCAGGGCTGGTGTTGTGGAGCTGCACGTGAGGCCATGCCTGAGAGAGAGCCGACTCATGCCTGGTCGCTCCATTTCTAATCCAGCTCCCTGCTAATGGGCTGGGAAAAGCAGACGAAGATGGCCCACACACTCGGGCCCGTGCCACCCACAGGGGAGATCCAGATGAAGCTCCCGGCTTCAGCCTGACCTCATCCAGACACATGTCTGTTTCTGTCTCTCTTTCATGTAAACAAAACCTTTTAAAAAGCAAACAAACTAAAACAAAACATCAAACACCAAAACAGGGCCTGGCGTGGCAGCCTAGTGGTTAAAGTCCTCACCTTGAATGCACCAGGATCCCATGTGGGCTCTGGTTCTAATCCCGGCAGCTCACTTCCCATCCAGCTCCCTGCAGTCAGCCTGGGAAAGCAAGGACGGCCCAAGGCCTTGGAACCCTACACCCGCGTGGGCGACCTGGAAGAGGCTCCCGGCTTCAAATCAGAGCAGCTCTGGCCGTTGCGGCCACTTGGGGAATAAATCATCAGACTGAAGGTCTTCCTCTCTGTCTTTCCTGCTCTCTGTATCAATCTGACTTTCCAATAAAACTAACTAAATCTTTTTAAAGGAACAGTTTAAAAAAAAAACAAAAAACCAACGTCAAATAAGGTCTTCTTGAAAGTAAAGGAGCCTTTATTAACTGTTAATAGATAGTTGAGAATGCGTAACATGCATAACCTTTTCTGCTATGTACCCAGCTCCAAACTCCGGACAGAGGCACCCGGGACAGCCAGATGAAGGTCAGCCTTGACTTCCTCTCTGGGAGTGTGCAACAAACGGTATGTATACTATACATGGTGTATATCCTACACTATACTATATATAATATAGCAAAGAATAATATACAGACACAATTGCTTACTATTTATCTATATTTATGGATTTATCTACATAGGGTACATATCTACATATATTTGGTTCTTAGCAGACTGCATTAAAAATATTTTTATCAAAGTAACAATCAAGATGGACTAGATTATTTCCACATGTACATCAGCAGGCAATTTGGAAAAGTAAGAGCTCATTACATCCGCAATGGCCAACAAAAACATTCTAATATTGCCAGGCCCTGGTCTTTGTTTATATGGAGATATTTTTCTAAAAGAGAAATGACCCAATTTCTAAAAATAATAAATCTTTTTTCAATGACAGCACCACAAAAGTAAAACCATGGTGTCTCAGGATGATTACCGCTTGAATAACAACACCTACCTCATCAGCTGGCTGCGGGGATTGACTAGGACAATGTAAGAGAAGTGCTTAGCACGGTGCTTGGCACCTTGTAAATGACCAATCCAGGACAGCCACCATCACCTTGAACTGATGCTGAAAGCAGAGAGGGAACTGAAAATAAACCCAAGGAGTGTTCTTCGTTTTCAATTCCATGTATACTGGCTGATCCATATCATCAACTCTAATGGACCAGTTACAAGTTACTGAGGAGTCAGAATCCGTGCTTTGTTCAGCACAGCTCTTGTTAGAAGAAAACCACCAGCAAGGTTTGTTGTTTTTCATTTCCTTTCTTGTTCAAGAAACAAACTTGTTAGAAAAATCTCTAAGATAAATCTTTGAAAATTTACCAATAGCCTGAAGGATATATGGTTTTTATTTACTTATTTATTTAGACACAAAACCATTAAAGTTCCCTGTCTTCCTCCAGCAGCTAGCAGCGCGCGCAGGACCAGGGACCCTGTCTGTGTCTGCCTCTCTGACCCGCACACTGCATTTAAAGGCCAAGATGACAGCTGTGGGCACCAGGCCCCACCACCATGCGTCTGCGCTAAGATGACAGCTGTGGGCACCACGCCCCACCACCATGCGTCTGCGCTAATTAGTAGATGGTGCCTACTTAACACTCTAACACTTCCTTGGTCCACACCATGTGCAGGACCTGCTGGGAGTGGGGAGACACGTGATTCCGGAAGAAAGTTCACCAACAGATTACTACATTGAACTTGACTTTTAAAAAACATAGCAACTAACACATCCAGGAAGGACAACAGCAGACAAAAAGCAAAGCTGAAATGCTGAGTCCAGCACAGGTGCTGGGGCTATCCTTATCCATGTGTTTCCTGTAAGGAGGCTTTCCCTCTTTACTGAAAGCACAGCCACCTTCCCTGGCAGCATATGGCCTACCCACATCGGACTTGCACAGTTCACATACTATATTGTAGCGAGATAAACCAACGCCAAGTGAAATAAAAGATTTTAAACCAATACCATCCTAAAGCCAGAGGGTCTCGATGCCTGAACACACGCCTAACGCAGACGAAAAACGGCCCTCTTATCCCCTCTCTGTATCAAGGTCATGTGACACAGTAATACTGAAATCAGGACTCAGGCATGTGTTATGTCAATCTTATTTAATGTGCAGTACCACCTACATCCTGCTTTCACACTTGCAGTACAAACTAACATATCAAATCAATTCAAAATATCATATATACCAATGGTTTTCAAACTGCTTTTCAATGAGAAGTGCTCTGCATAAAATAACCGAGCCTTATGCAGAAATCCAATGTGCTGCAAGAAGCAATGCAGAGATGCTGTGGTTGGAAATGAAAGCTGCAGGCCTGCCGTCGCCCTGTGCCCTCACACAAACCCAGGAGCAGAGTTTGAAAACCATGGAAATGACGGACACTGGCCATGTCTCTCAGCAAGTAAATTTGAGGCAACTATTTCAAGCCAAACAAGTCAAGCATGAAACGGAATGTTGGACACAGAGAAAGCTAGCACTCAAACCAGCAGAGAGTCTCATTACACAGCACGCTGGAACAAGAGCCATTCAGAAGCCAAAGGGACCGGGAAGGATCTGCATACGGTCTACTCTGTCACTGAAGTTTTAGAAAGAACATGAAAACACTCTTGCTTCAAAACTTCAGTCTAATAAACCAAAATCATGGATCCTAAAATGTGGCTAACTTGCCTCGCAAATCCTAATTTACCAATTATAAATTGAGGGTAACAACATCAAAATCTTCATGGAAAATGGACAGTATCAGTGAGGGGTTTTACAGAATCGACTTCTTTATAACGACTTACCCAACTGTTATCCGACTAACCCAGAAAGAGAATTTTCCTTCAGAAATATTTTTATGAAAACTTTGATTAAAATAGGGAAAATTGTAGGACATAAAGGAAATGCAAATATGTAGTAGAAATGGCTTATTTAGAGCTCTAACTGGTTATATCAAACTTCTCTCCAGGGAAACGCTGAATCAACATACAATTTATTTCATTATGGTAACAGATTTCAAATTGAGCTTTTTAAAAAGTACATTTAGCTACAAAATTAAGCTTAAATAGGTATTTATAAAATATATTCACCCTGAAATGGTAGAGAATATAAAGTGTTGATGGCCATGTCAATAGTACATCGTACATTATACACAAGAATGTAAAGGTCATTTTCTTTGCATTAGTAATGCAGATTAAACCACAATGTTTATTGCTTGTATCGAGTGCAGGTTGAGATCCAGACAGCCTCCAAAACCAAATCCTTGTGATAAAGGATCTCTCGGTGTTGGTCAGGTGAAACACTTAAGTCTGACAGGTAGGAATACAGCTGCAAAATGGACCAGTTTGGAACAAACACAAGTGTCTTTATTTTGGATAGCTGCTTACAGTTTGGGCTTGAGGAACCTGCAGTGAAGAGTCCTGAGATGTTGGCCTGGGGCTGCGGGATCTCCTGGGGCTGAGGTCTAGCCTACTGCACCATTTGGGGGCTGAGGGGGCTCACTGCTAACAAATTCCCTGCGGTTAATGCAGCACTGTCAGCTACCAGCGCAGAAGCTTACCTGGCAACACGGACTGTTTATTTATAGGGCATTTTGTTGAAAAAACAGTGTCCAGCCAACCAGAGCGCCAACCAAAATGACTGACACAAACCCCATCCTAGTGATAAAAGGCTGCCAATATAACCACCTTTTCCTTTTTCGTTCAGTCTCATTTAGCCTCTGTTTCATCTGCTGCACCTTCTGCGCCGTGGTGGCTTTTCTGTCCTCTCGCATGCGTTTCCGTAGAACACTGCGAACAGAGAAAAACAAATGAAAGGCAGTGTGTGTGTGCAGGATCTGCACTAACACAGAAGTTCGAGCACAAACCCCAAGCCCCATGCTCCCTCACGGTATTTTTCATCTTACTGTAACCCTGGAATTCAAAAGGGAAAATGCCTCACATTCTAAATTGGCTCAGGGATGTACTCTTTATAACTCAGCAACATCTCCCGGCACAGTTTCACATTAGTAAGTACTTGTTGTAGCAGGACCTGAAAAATCACCAAGGTACTTGCTTTCTTGAAAGATGAATTGGTGATTGCTGGTATTGACTGGTTGACTGATTGACTGATTTTTTTGCTAAGTAGCAAGCAGAAGACACTGGTCTCCCCCACACCTGACTGTCTTTGATGTATCACAAAGCTCCCTGGCAAAGGTTATCTAATTATGATGGCTACTTATTCTTTCATTTGCCCACACATATTTCTAGCTCCTATTTTCCTCCTCAATATAGAATTTTTACTTCAAAAGAAGCTCCTGACCCCCAAGATACTAGGTCCTAAAATAATGTTTTGAAAAGGAAGCAAATGTTAACAAATAAATTACTACTTCTTGCGTTTAAAGATAGAAATAGAAAACGCACAGGGGCTGGTGTCACAGTGCGGTGGGGTCACTCTGTCAGAGGACCAGTCTGTTTGTGCCCAGGCTGCTGTGTTTTGAGCAGCTTCCTGCTCATGTGCCTGAGAAGGCAGCGGAAGACAGCCCATGTGCTTAGGCCCCCTGCCACCCCGGGGGGGGGGGGCAGAATGTGGAGTTCTTTTTTTTTTTTTTTAAAAAAAAAGATTTATTTTTATTATTTTTTATTGGAAAGGCGGATATACAGAGAGGAGAGACAGAGAGGAAGATCTTCCCTCCGATGATTCACTCCCCAACTGAGCGCAACGGGCCGATTCTGAAGCCAGGAGCCTCTTCCGGGTCTCCCACGCGGGTGCAGGGTCCCAAAGCTTTGGGCCGTCCTCGACTGCTTTCCCGGGCCACAGGCAGGGAGCTGGATGGGAATTGGGGCTGCCGGGATTAGAACCGGCGCCCATATGGGATCCCGGGCGTGCAAGGCGAGGACCTTAACCACTTGCGCCACCGCGCCGGGCCCAGAATGTGGAGTTCTTGTCTCCAACCGCTCTACTGTCACCACTGAGGACTAAATCAGTGGATGGAAGATCTCTCTCTTTGGCTTTCAAACAAATGATTAAATAACGAATTTTAAACACTCACAAAATCATCTCCTCCTTTTTACATATTATCTGTATTATGGCAAAAGTTTACATTTTCCTACCCCCAAATTAAACATTACTGTCACAATAACTTTTGCTCTGAACAAATAGCTTGGTTAAAAGTCCTGAATATCTTTTTGGTCTTTACTGCATGTAAGACACAACCTTTTTTCTTGGTTAAAGTGTTTAACATGAGCCAACCCTGAGGAACAATAATGAGAATAAGCCAGATGGTGGGGCGTTCCATCTTTGTGCACAGGACTTAAAAAATACTACAGTCAAGCAAGGGAAAGCAGGTAGTGGAGAACAGATTAAAGCAAACCAAAGAATTCTACCACCCAAACAGTGTGTGGATGATCGCTGACAAGACCCCAAATGAGTTTATTTGAACAGCTGTAGAGACTGGGACCCTGAAAACGTCTGAACATCATGTGAATGCCTACACAATCTTCAAGTACATTAAAATACAATGACACTATATACTTTCAGCGTAATAAGCCAAGTGTGCTTTTCAGACAATCAGAAAAATTTCCATGTGGCATCTACAAAAGAGGGTCCTTGAAGGGCTCACGGTAAAGCCTAGCATTGCTTTCAAAAAAATCCTTGCATCAAAATCAATTCATTTTTAAATTCCACTTCTCATAAACCTTTTGAAGTATGACAGTATCAGGATATCTTTTTTTTTTTTTAATGTATTTTTATTGCGAAGTCAAATATACAGAGAGGAAGAGAGACAGAGAGGAAGATCTTCTGTCTGATGATTCACTCCCCAAGTGACCACAACAGCCAGTGCTGTGCCAATCCGAAGCCAGGAGCCAGGAATCAGGAGTTTCCTCCAGGTCTCCCATGTGGGTGCAGGGTCCCAAGGCTATGGGGCCATCTTTGACTGCTTTCCCAGGTCACAAGCAGGGAGCTGGATGGGAAGTGGGGGCTGCCAGGATTAGAACCGGTGTCATATGGGATCCCGGGGCATTTAAGGCGAGGACTTCAGCCACTAGGCAACCACGCCGGACCCAGTATCAGGATATCTTACTGCTATTTGTTAATTTATCTGAGTTTCTTTTAAAAGATTTATGTATTTGAAAGGCAGAGTCACAGAGTGGGAGAGATGTGATACTCCATGTGCTGGTTACCTTTCCAAAAGGCCTAAATGGCTTAGACTGGGCCTGGACTCCCCGCCTGCGTCTCCCATGTGGGTGGCAGAGGTCGTGCACTTGGGTCATCTTCTGCTGCCTTCCCAGGTGCAATATCAAGGAGCAGGAATGGCAGTGGAGTAACTGGAATTCAAGCTAGTCTACAGGATGCTGGCTTAACCTGCAGTGACACAGTGCTGGCCCCTCTGCTCATTTCTTTAATTAATGCCGGAGGGAATGTAGAACATTACTGGACAGTTTCTCAAAATGGTAAACAGAGACCTATATCTACAAGTCACACCAAATCTGTCCAAACTTATTAAAGATTAATACAATCTTTAAAAAAAAAGTTAAGTACAGGGTTACTACAGAATGCAGCAATGTTCCTTCCAGGTCTTCACTCAAGGACAGCAGGGTGAATGGCACGCGACCCACCCCAGAACCTTCTGCTCCCCAGGACTGACTTCCTGTCCTAAGGAGTTTTCGCTCTTCTCTAAACTTGTTCCAAATTTGTTCCCTACAAAAACAGAAAACCTTCCCTCCCCTCTGGTCCCTCCGTTGCTAACCTATCCAATTCTCTCAGCTCTCAGGCTGCACTTTTGCCCTCCACGCCTAGGGATTCCACATCCACGGATTGAACTACACATGGATGAAATGTGCAGGCATTCTGTTCCTGCCATTATCCCCGAAACTGAGTAGAGCAACTGCATGGTATTTATATTGTATTAGTTATTATATGTAAGCTAGAGAGGATTTAAAAGCTACAGGAGGGAATGTGTGGGCTATATGCAAATATTACATGTTATATTAGGAACTTGAACCTTCATGAGTTTTGTTACATCTAGGAATCCTGGAACAATCCCCACGGACACCAAAGAACAGTATAGAACTATTCTTGGATGTCTGAATTTTGTCTGAATATCAGTTACAAAGAATTGTCAAAGGTATACCCAGAATTCACTCTTTGATCTCAAAACTCGGTATGAAAAAATATGCACATATTTTCTAACAAATAAATCCGTGTTCAAGTCCAGGCTACCTATCCATCCATCCTGAAGTAGACAGGAAGTGTTAATCCTCCATGGGTCTCTAACCTGCCCTCGCTAGGTGCCCAGAATCGTATCGCCACATTCCACTGTATATGAAATCTTTAATATATTATTTTTGATTTTATGGCAGCATAGAGGTGATTAGAATTTGTATCTTGTATTTACAGTAACATCAATTGCCATACATGCTCAATATGATTAAATAATTACATCACAAGGTGTAGTAACTGTGTAACAGAGACTATCATATCAAGATGTGAACATACAGTGCAGTGTGTGTCTTTACTTCCAGACAGACATGGACTCCCAATGAAACTGTTAAATATATTCTGACAATAGGATGCTGGACACTCTGCCATTGTCCATGCCCACAATGTAAGGATACACTTAAATAGCAGAATGACGGACTTTATGACTGCTTATGTAGGACTATACTATTGTAATAATATAGTGGAAATCAGTGGTGCAAGAGAGGGGATTTTGGGAAGGGGTAAAAGGAATCCCAGAGCCTATGGAATTGTATCATAAAATAAAAAATAAAATTAAAAAAAAAATCATAGATTATATGATTAGGAAGTTGGCACTTTAAATGCTATGTAAGAGTTTTAAAGAGTTGGGTTTTTTTGTTCTTTTTTTGTTTGTTTGTTTTTGTATTTGGGGAAAACTGGTTATGATTCTTGATAGGGCTGGGAACATATAACTTTTATCACTTAAAATATTGAAATAGAAAGTTAGTACTTTCCAAAAATGCAGTATATAATTCAGGATTGAACTTAGAAACACAAAGGCATGCTATCTATCTATCTATCCATCCATCCAATCATTTATCCATAAAAGGCAGAGACATCTTTCATTTACTGATTTACTCCTCCAATTTCCTGTAACAGACACTGCTGGGCTGGGCTACAGTCAGCAGACACAACCTCTCTCCTATGTGATGGCTAAACATCCACCACTGAGCCGTACTCTGTGGGCTCCCAGATGAGTTAGCAGGAAGCTGGATCGGAAGCACAGCAAGGACTCACTGTGACATGGATTGTAGGTGTCCCAAGTGGCACCTTAACTGCTGTGCCAAACATCCTCTGCCTTATGTAGTTTAAGAGTACTATTCTAGAGGATGGGTTATTTCCAATTTGTGATCCAACAAAATCTTTTGTCACTTAGCTGGGCCTAAGCAAATTATTTCTATGTAGTACCCTGCCGATTGAGCCTAGCCAGGTTTTTTGCACATATTCTTGCAATTTAGACTACACAGAAAGTCTCCTGTGGACCCTTATCCGTGGGAAATCCTACGTAATTTCTGACAGACTCAGCAGACTTCTGCCAACACGTGCCTTGGCAGGCATGTTGTATGCTGTGCTAACAAGTGGGAGACGAGGCTCAAGAATTTTCATTTAGCCACGCTGCGATCCAATCTCAGTCATGTGGCTTTATGGGTTGTGTGATAACAAGCAATACTGGCTGTCAAATTAAGATTCCAGTTTCCACTATGAAATACCTTATCATCCCAACAAAGCAAAAACATACACATAAATTTATCTATATACACAACATGCATGTGTATGCGCAATTTATATATAATATGAACACATACAAAACTAGGTTAGAATATTCATAGCCAACTATTGGCAATTTCCAATAATTTCTATTCTATTCTTTAAAACACATTTTTTTATAACCCAATAACTGATTTCACAGCTATGAGATTTGATCTTCACTTTGACAAACACCGCTCTGGAGGATATTCAATTATGATGAAGACAAGAAAGTATTACCTTCTATTCTTTTGATGGCTGGAACTTAAGTCAAATTATATCTTGCTCTAGGAGTACTTCTGATATAAAGCTAGCTATCAATATTAAAATTTACCAGAGAAGGCAAGCATTTGGAATAGTGGTTAAGACAGCGTCTGAGAGGTCTGCATCCCGCATCCAAGTGTGTGAGCTGCAGTCAGCTCCCAATGCCAGTCTCCCACTGCTGCAGCAGGAGGCAGTACGGGAGTCTGGACTGACCTCCAAGCTCCTAGCTTTGGCCTGATCCAGATGCCATGCTGGGACAGGAATTTTACTTTGTCTAAATCCTTCTGTTTCGCTTACTTTCAAATACAGAGGAATTTTGAAAAACTTAGTGGGACTCAACAACAAAACTTTTAATGGTCTTTTGTGCAACTGACCCTAACCTTTCCTTCTCTGCCTGTGTCAGCCACAGATGGTCTTTCAGTTAGCTCACCTATTAGAAACCTTATTTCTTTGTTGGGACAGTCCCTCTGCTTTCGAGCATACACCAGTCCGTCACAGGGAAGACAACAAGAGAAAAAACCAACCATGTGAACACATCACGTACACATGAAGACACTCTACCACAGCTCTGAATGGTTTCAAATAACCTCTGAATACTTAAAGTTGGACAAGGATGGAAAGGCACAGAAATGAGCCCAGTATGCGTGGGCCACTGTAACCCACATGGAAGACCTGGAAGGAACTCCTGGTTGTGGCCTGGCCTAACCTTGGCTATGGTGGCCATCTAGAGGGAGCCACAGGATAGAAGCCCTCTCTCATTCTCTCTTTCTCCTTGTAACTCTTTCAAATAAATACATAAATCTTAAGAAGTTGCAATTTAAAGCTAAAAAGAGGATAAACAACTTTATACTTTCACTTATCCTACAAGTCATAAACAGTAAGTAACATCACTAAATTGTGATGGATTCTGGAAATGAAATGAATGAATGAATTGGATTCTGAAAATGAAATGGCTTTTATAAAATTTCAGAAATATAATTTTGATATAAGGAAAATATAAGAATGAAGCTATAAGGTCCAGGGGATGCTTATTTACTATCCCAAATCTCAGTCTTAACAAACGACTTCAATATGGAACTTCTTACAATGAAAAGTATATTTGACTTCCTCCCCCTAAAAAAAAATAATAATAAGTTATTCAGGGCCCAGCACAATAGTCTAGTGGCTAAAGTCCTCGCCTTGCACGTGCCAGAATCCCATATGGGCACCAGTTCCCATTTAGCTCTCTGCTTGTGGCCTGGGAAAGCAGTTGAGAAGGGCCCAAGGCCTTGGGATCCTGTACCCATGTAGGAAATCCAGAAGAAGTTCCTGGCTCCTGGATTTGGACCGGCTCAGCTCTGGCTGTTGCGCCACTTGGGGAGTGAATCAGTGGATGGAAGATCTTCCTCTCCTCCTCTTGTATATCTGACTTTCCAATAAAAATTTAAAAATAAGTCTTAAAAAAAGTTATTCAGAGATAAAAAAAAAAGACATACATCTTAGAACACCAGCTTTCTAATGTGTGTGTAAGATAACTACAGCCCTAGAAATACAGGTTTTTTTTTTTTTTTTTTAATTTAAAAAATCTCGGGCTCAGCACTGTGGCACGGTGGGTTAAAAACCTCTATCTGCAGTGCCGGCAACCCATGTGCGTGCTGGTTCAAGGACTTCCACGCAAGCTCCCTGCAGAAGGCAATGGAATACGGCCCAAGTCGCTGGGCCCCTGCATCCTCATGGGAAACCTGGATAGATTTTCAGGCTCCCAGCTTCAGGTGGGCCCAGGCCGTGCTTTTGTGGTCACCTGGGGAGTGAACCAGTGGATGTAACATCTCTCTCTCTAACTCAGCCTTTTAAATAGATAAATATTAAAAAACAAAACCCTTTTGAATGATTACACAGTTACACGGTTAGCATGAAAAAAGGATAATATGGCACTTTATCTAATTTTTTTAGAAAAACGCTTTTTGCCTGCAGTAATAGAATTAGTTAAACTCTTGTAATTTTATTAGTAACTATACAGGTGGCAAGTATTCAAATCACTTAGTTACTGTATTTGTACATTTTAGCACCTAATCATAGTAACTTGTACTCTTTTTCAACATTATTTATAAACAGAAGCTTTATTTAGTTATAAACAGAAGTTCATTTATTTTTCAACTTGCTTATAAAATTGCCTTTTTCGTACAACTCAAAAAATTATTGAGAACAAATATGTAACACCTACTATCTAAATATTAATTCAACAGACAGCTAATGTACATTGCTTCCTGTCCATTGAATTTTTCAAGCAGAAAGCCTCATTTGCTATGGCATGTACTACCAGGAGGCTTACCTCTCGCTGTCCTCCACAGCTTCTTGCGTTTTAGATGAAAGCCCTGTACATCGGTCACCCGCCAGCTTCTCTTCTTCTAGAACTACCCGGCTCCCATTGTACTTTTCAGTCATTATTTTGTTTGATGAATGATCAAAAGCAGGAGATACATCTTCCTTTGAGAGTTCTTTCCACCGTTTCTAAAGAGGGAGGAGAAATGAGAAAATAGTGCACATGCTAAAATTTTGGCATCCCTTATGAATTGAAATTCTACATTCAAGTTTGAAGAGAATTCTGTAATGCTGAAACATGAATGAAAATCAGTAAGATATATCATACCACAGTACTTTTTACAACTATGCCTAAATTTAATAAATAACAAATCATTTAATTATTTATGTATGTCAGCACGTACCTGAATATAACTTTAATAAAAGTCTAGTGGCCTTTTAACACTTTGAGACAAACTATGGCCTCACTAAAATTCAGTTAGTAAGAAGTTAGATTTGTGCTCAACTCTTCATACGCCCTAATCCACGGTGTGTAATGTAAAGTATAAACAGTCCAGCCGCTGGATGTGATCTGAGGCAGGCCCTAGTCATGCCAATTGGGTCGTCCCTCATAGGTATACCAGCAACTCCAGAATGCCAGCGTACCAGTAGGCTGGGCAAGCAGCTTCTCAGGCATGCCTCAACTTCAGAGGGGGTGATCACAGAAAGCGGGAATCATACAGAGACAAACGTTAGTTTTTCTCTGAAAGAGGATGTTAGCCCCCTCCTACAGCCTTGGTGGAGCTCAATGCATGTCCAGCAGGCTAAGTCACCTTTGCTTCACCATCACTTCCTAGTAACAACGGCAAGGAAGAGGTACAAGGGGTGTCCGTACCCACCGAGGTGGAAGTTACCACTGCACAGGCCAGAGAAAGAAAGGAAAAATAAACCAGGAGTATGACTTCTCAACTGCTACGAGGGCTGGGAACCCAACAGCCATCCATGCCCTGGAAGTCAGCAGTGAAGAGGCAGAGCAGGGGAGGCAATGGCTTTCATGACTTATGACTGACACTGACCCAAATTACTTGCTGTGGACAAAGGGCAGTCCCCTTGGAGGACACCACCATGGAAACAAGCTATTTTGGATCAAGTTAACAAAGAAAACACTACTAGACTAGCTAAGCAGAATAATGACTTTGAACAGCGTTGTAACACTGCAACTCAAACATCTCTGGAACTTATAAAATATTCATGCCCTAGAGGAACTACTTTTATACAAAACCGTGCCATTAAAAGCAACGCCTGCATATTTAATTTCTAAAACTCCTGGAAAACTCACTCATTCCCTAGATAAACTGATTTCTAATGTGCCCCATTATTATCATATAACAGAGGAATGGAAAAAAAAGCATTTTACCAGCCCCACCTTTCCTAGAAATGGCTATTTTACTTAACTGCATAATAAACATTTGTTTTAGATCAGCTAATTTACAAAATATTCAGAGTGTGAAATTGTGTACTCTGTGTTGCCTGGAAGATGGCAGACAGTGACAAGCACAATTTGTGCAATGTGGCCGGAGTGCAGGGAGCATGGACTCCAGGGGAAAGACATGAAGCTGGACAGGAGGCTGACCTCTACCTGAGGAATCCAGCCAGCAGTCACAGAAGCCCAGACCATGCACCGAGGGATGGGACATTTTCATTCTCAATGACTGTGTCAATCTTCTTCCTTTTGTCTCACAGTTCACAGCCGGAAAGGCATTACTGTCACACCCCTTGTGCAGATGAGTCCAGAGATTTTAGGCTACTTGCCTCAAGTTGTGTAGCAAGAGCAGGGCAAAATTTAACCCAGATGGTTGCGCTGACAATCTTGTAATCCCTCCTAATGCTGTCTGTCTCTGAAAAGCTCAACAATTTCAGACATAGGATAAAGAAAGCACCCAATAAACACGTTCAGCTGTCTCCACAATTCATGTTGGTCGAGTTTTGAAGTTTCCATTTTTTTACTGAGACCCAGTTACAACAACCTGGCCTTGTTCTCGGACAACACTCAACAATGTCAATGAACAAGAACACCCCAAAAATCCAGCCTCACTGGACCACTTCCCAGTACATGCAGCAAATTCAGCATTTGTCAATAAGAAAGGCACTCAGCAAAGTGGTAGGATGGAGGAGGGAGCTGTTTGATGGTAGCGAGCTTTCAAAAATTGACTCTGCCATGTGTGTGTGCAGCAAACTTAAAGTATCTACTCTTCTCCGATACAAAAGTGAGCAGGCAGTCATGAGTCACCTGTCGCAGCTTGTCACCACGGAAGTGTGAAGCCAAGGGATTTGACTGCACTAAATAACAGTTTCCTGTGAGTTCCCATGTGCAAGTCTGGCATGGTTTCACCTTTCTAAAGCTGTACTCATACTGAAGCACACTTCATGTGTGTAACGCCCCACTCAGTCTGGAATCCCCTCTCCATCCAGTTCTCCCACGAAAGAAAGCACCTTCAAGACTGAAGCGATGCAACGAAACTTGGAAACACAGTGACATTTGTTAGAAGTTTATCATTTCACATTTAATATCTTATTAGTAGGATCAGATTATTAACTTTAGATCTTACAGCATCAGTCTGAATTGCTGAACTAGATTATTCAACCCAGGCTGTCCAGTCCTGACACTGGGAGTTTGCCAAGAAACATGTGGCAATACCAGCAACTATCTTATGTATTTATGCCTCAAAGTGTATCAGAGGACAATCGGAAATTACGTAATTTACAAAGGTAGGTCAGGTCACTGCAAATTTCCTGTAGAATATATGCTACATGACTGTAATTACACACACACATATATCAATTAAGATACAATCACTGTATGGGTGGGTGTTTGTGGAGACGTTGGGGGTCAGCTTCTGCTTTTGGCTA